ATTTTCCATATCACAGAACGAACATTTTCTTTTTCTTTTTACTAATATATCACGTTAAATATATAACTATTTATCCACANACGCACACTGTGGAATTTTATATATAACTACATGTATTCCATGAATCGCACACCATGGATTTCATGATTTATCACACACATATATAAGCACATCACTATGCTTCCAATGGACATAAATGACTTATGAACCTTTTATAGAGCTTATCACCAATTATGATTTCCACAACTCTTACGTGATTATCATCACCGCGAAACACTTTCACAATTCTTCCCAGGGGCCATTTACCCCGAGGGGAGTTTGGATCTACAACTATAGCGACGTCTTCTTCCTGAAAATCCCGTTGTTCGCGATGCCATTTACTTCGCGCATTCAATGTGGGTACTATTTCCTTCACCCACCGTTGCCAAAATTGTTTGACAAGTTCCTGCACTCGTCGCCAACGTTTCCGAGGGTCGAACCTAAAGTCGTCCACACACTCAGGGGCCAGTTGTCCACTCAATTGTCCGAATAGGAAATGGTTTGGAGTCAGAACAGGGCTATCATTGGGGTCGTTTCCCTCATAACAAAGCGGACGGGAGTTAATTAAGCCTTCAGCTTTTACGAACAATTCTTCGTCCGTTACGTCTGCGTCACCTATTACAGCTTTGATTGCCCGTTTAGACGATTTTACCATGGCCTCGAAGATTCCACCGAAATGAGGGGCGGATTGAATTTCCATTCAATGTTGCTATTTGCCAAAGAGTCACCTATCCTAGTCTGATCCAAAGCACGAATCAGGTCACCCAATTCACTTTCAGCGCCAATAAAGTTAGATCCGTTGTCGGAAACGACGCTAATGAGTTTCCCACGTCGATTTGTGAATCGCGAGAATGCACATAAGATGATAAGCAGGTTATAACACACAAATAACGCTTAGTTCGAGTTTTACCCCTACCTTGCTTAGTGTGAAAATGTCCAGCATAATCGATGCCAATTCTTGCGAAGTGCCATGACTTGCACTGCTGGTTTCCTGCGACGTCTGATACATTCAGCACAGGATGACTTAATTGACTTTATCAGATTACGAGCGCCAATTATCCAGTATTTGGACCTCAATAACGACAAGGTTTGCGAAACTCCCACTTCGTGATTACCATCTTCGTAAAAGAACGTTGTGATGTGACGCGAAATACAATGAGTTCCTTAAAATATTATAGGAAATTTTGCATCGAATGATAAATGTTCAGCTTTTCCAAGAGGGCCATCGACACGTAATACACCATCCTTATCGATAGTCGGATTTAGAGTCAATAATTTCGAACTGTTACGAATGGGGTTGCCTTTTCGAAGACACAGAATTTCCTCTCTGAAAGAGTCCCACTGAGAGGTTTTATACCAGAATATTTTAGATTGTTCAAGTTCTGCGACGTTTAAATGATTGTCTGAGATGCGCGACTTTGGATGTCGAACATTATGAATAAATCTTAGAATCCACGAAGTTACTCGTACTAATTTAGACCATTTCGAGTAGCGTTGGATCGAGCCTACCAAAATCGATCACCTGATTGGTTGTTAGAAAAGACTCGTCGACCGAGAATTAACTAGTTCCATCTAACATTTCCTCTGTTCTGAGGAAATTGAGGTTCAAGTTTCAGAACTTCATAATTCTGTTAAAAATAAAGATTATCATTTGAGACTTTTTATGGTATTAATATGATTCAATACTGATTCCCATACCAAATTTCAAGTGCAGAATGTCACTGGAATATGAACAATTCATGAAGAGATTTTGCAGATACACCTTTGTGACTTTCAAATATGAATAATTTCAAAGCCATATTGGTGTATCTGCATGTTTAGATGGATATATTTGCATAATTGTTTAGGAAATGGGTAAAAGGCTTGGAATTTATCTGCCCAAATTTATTCAAGAAATAGAATCAGACATATAGGGGTTGTTATATAAGAGAAATAACTCATTCTGACCAATAATTGACCGTTTAAGATCACGAGAAAACAACACAGATAGTCAAACACATCAATTATTTTATTTTAAGAACTCTATCATAAATTAAAACATTTTGCATTTACCTTTGCAACTTTGTAACTATTCTGACATTCGGAAAATATAAAACATAACAGACTAAATAATATTAACAATAACTTTTCAACAATCTGAACTAAATACTGCAATAAGGCCTAACATTGTAAATACATGTAGGCTCTATCAGAGGGGGGCATGAATTTTAACATCGCTTTAATGTCTTGAATTTTGACTTGTGTGAGGGGCTTGGATTTTGCAGATTTTGGTTCACCAAGGTGTATGGAAGTTATCCCACTACGAGACCATTGTCGCTCAAAAACGTTCTCAGTAATCCACTCTTCGTCAAACCCCTTTTTATACCTTAAAATTTTGGGTTCATACTGTTCGTACAGTAGGCATTTCACTTTTGTAAAAGGGATATTTTGAAATTGACCGGTGTTTGCTATCGTTAGATAATCTTTAAAGTATTCTGGTTTCATCTGGATGATGTTCAAAGGTTTACTCACTTTAACTTTCTTCAACAAACGTAGAAGCCCAACTGGACTGTAAATCTCAATGTTCCTACATACACGTTCTATTTGACTGTGCAGATTGTCAACTTCCTGTATAGATGAGTGTCCAGGCTGACTATATTTGTGAATAATGGTTTTTATATCTGGATGATTCTTTAAGAATAATTTAATAGCTGTAGACATAACCCTGTTTTTATTTTGAGGAACGCATGAATCACTCCAGAGAGTGATATTCTGGATTCTTGGATCTGAAGAATTAAACTCATATATAGAGTCTAAGATACGCACCACAGAACTGGCAATATCATTTCCTGAACGACCACTTTGACCCTCATGCCACACAGCACCATAACCTCTCTTGTCTGCTGAGCAATGTGCAGTCATGTGGTAGACGTTTAGTTTTCGCCTATAGAAGAAATTAGAAACATCAGCAGTTGGTAGTGCAAATACATTTTGTAAATCAAAACATATAGTAAAGGTTTCGGAATTATTTCGATCTTTTTCACGTTCAGACTTAGTTGATTCTTTGCCTTGTATGTGTGACAAATGGGTGATCCTTTCCAGTTCTGTTGGATTTTCATTCATTTTCATAGATTCACAGGCATCACATCGATCTTTTTTTGGCATATGAAATCCTATATTGAATTCGTTGTTAAAAATATGGCGGTACATGTGCAGTTTTGCTGGTTCTCGAGAAATCTCTCGACATCTTTGAGCATATTTGTCATATAAAAGCGCAATAGATAACCCATTAGGCAAGTATTCTTTGTTAGTGGAAGCTCTGCAATAATGAGATTCTAAACGGGGAATAGAGTTAATATGTTCTCTAATTCCATTCTTCACATGGTCTGGAATAACATTATTGGCATTTTTACCCATTGTAGTGGTGTTGGTGTTCCTGTTGTTACATGTTTTGAGTTGTGGTAGGTAAAGACTCGCTTTTGGCTGATATTCAAAGTTGTTAAATAGAATTCTTTACATACTCTAATATTCCTTCCTTTATTTGTAAGAAAATACTCGAAACTGTTTTTTCTTCTACTACCACCAGACTTAGGTCGTTTTGTAGGCTGAATGCTTGTGGTTTTTGCATAAAAATGTAATTTTTCGTTGTCAGACAATGTCCAAAATTCAGAAAATATTGTTGCTCTATTTGCTTCACTCAAGTTTTGGCTGCATTTAAATTTACATTTAGAGCAATCTTTAGTGGTTGTCGGTTTCCTTGCTGGTTGAAGTTTTCCTCTACTATCTATATATTCGTCCCCACTTTGTCGTAACCTTTTTCTTAAATTACTTTTCCATGTGTCACTAAATTTAGTTCTTATTTCTGCTAAGGCTATTTCTGCAGGCTCTGGGATCACACGATCTGGCCATGACGATGGATCTAACGATAAAAAATCCGGACCGTCCCACCAAAGGTCACTGTTAGCTAATTCGATGGCAGATACACCACGAGTCGCCAAGTCTGCACTGTTGGACTTGGTCGGAACATAACGCCATTGTATGAGCTCCGAGGATTCATGAATCTCACCTATTCGATGTGATACGAATGGTTTGTAAGTGCGCGATTCTCCTTTTATCCAGTAAAGTACATTTTGACTATCGCACCAGAAAGTTGTCAAGGTCTTTGGAATTTTAAGTACTTCGCAAACTGAGATTGCCAAGCGCACTCTGAGCACTGCACCACAAAGTTCTAATTTTGGTATCGAAATTGTCTTTAATGGCGCTACGCGAGTTTTAGCTCAGAAAACCAGCAAGTCCACTGTTGCTTAAGGTCATCGGGAAGATTAGCGTCCCAATCCAAACCACGTACCCACGTCTTTTGGATTCCTAACTTGGCCCTAATAGTAAACGGTGCGATCAGGTTTAGGGGATCAAAAAGTGTCGCCGTCTTACTAACTACTGTCCGTTTGGTCAAAGTTGCAAGCGGTGTCTCAGCTACTTCAAAAGTGAATGAGTCAGTTTCTGCGCACCACAATATTCCAAGTGTTTTAATAGACGGGAGATTATCATCATCAAGAGAAAGTTTGTTAAGTCTATCAGAAACAGGAGCGTCTGTCAACACTGTTGCTTTATTGGACAACCATTTGCGTATTTCAAATCCAGCGCCTAGTAGAAGTGACCTTAACTGCCAACGCAGTTCAATGGCTTCCGAAATACTATCAACGCTATCAAGCAAGTCGTCAACGCACATAGAGTTAAGAATAGATTCTGCTGCCAAAGGATACTCACTCTCATTTTGCTCACAATGGTTACGTATGACTTGTTGGGAAGGTAGGGCGATGACGAGTTCTCAAACACAAGCCTATTGTACTGATAGATTTTAATTGGACTTAGTGAATCAAGGTTGTCACGCCACAAAAATCTATGGAATATGCGATCTTCGTCCTTCAATCCGATTTGCAAAAACATCTCGGAAATGTCACTTGCTAAGACAATTGGTTTATTGCGAAATCTCAAAATTACATCAACCAGATCTCTTTGAAGTTTAGGGCCTGGATTTATGCAGTCGTTTGAAGATATTCCATTAGTCCGAGCAGCGGCGTCCAATACCATCCTAACTTTAGTTGTTGTTTGTCCATTCGCACAACTGCGAAATGGGGCAAGTACCACGATGGCAACGAGTGACTGGGGATTTCCGTTAAGTAACCTTTCAGCAGGTGACTCTTGATAATACCGGAATAAGTTTCAGCCACTTCCGGTTTCTTAGCTAAAGAACGTTCAAGACTCGAAATTCGAAGTCAACAGCAATTTACGATAGTTAGAGTTCCAGGGCATTCCAACGCTGTACCTATTAGCAACTGAATCGTAAGTCAACGATTGTTCGGTAGATTTGATAGCATCTGTTTCTATTTTGGTAAAGTTTGAAATTCTCGGTTTAATACCGGAGTTCTCGATATCCCACATATTTCGGATTAATGAGTCTACGTCAGATTCTGTCTTGATGTGATAAGTGAAATGAGCGAAGTTACCACTAGACTCAGCTGGCCCCGCAGGCCCAGTGCATGTCCATCCCAAAGGAGTCAATCGAGC